GGCGTCCAGGACAGCGCTCTAGGTGAAGTGGGTAGGGATGGGCCTCCCAGGTTTCCTTTGCCACCAGGCCCTGCGATGGAAAGCTCAAGGGGCTTCCAAAGTCAGCCTGGCTGAGTGTCTGCCAATATGGTTAACATCCTGCCAGAGCGGTTCCTAAGGAAGTGGCTACAAGAGGCTGGGGCCAATTTAGCATTCTGTGTCCCTGCCCCCATGCCAGAGCTGTGTTGACTGCCCTCGATTCAACAGAAGACTACCTGGGCCAAGAGAAATGGAAAAAGCCACCTACCCCAAAAGAAACTAGTGTCCCCAAATCCAAGGAAACCCACCCGGCTCAGGATGGGGGCAGAGCCCTTCCTCTCTCTGCTAGGTCCTCAGAGATCTTCTGACTGTGGAGAGATGTCCCACGAAGTGTCATCAAAACTCCACCACTTCCCAAGCCCGGTCTCTGCTTCATCTTGATTTTACCTAGGCTGAAGACCACCAAAGGTTGTGGAATCCTAACTCAGCAATCATTTCTTTATAACTTGTAACGACAAGACTCTTGCTCTCTGAGGGCTAAGGATTTTCCAGTCTCCTTCTTGTTGATGCTTTCAGAGATGACCCACCCAGAAAGAAGCGGGCACCAGAGCTGCTGGCGACTCCTCCAGTTAGCAAGGGCAGAGAGCCAGCATCTCCAGGAGAGGGCCAGTACGATGCTGGCTCTTTTTCTCCTAAGGCAGCAGAGAAACCAGCATAGGAAACCACGCTGTAGCAGTGTTTGGAAGGACATAAAGCTTTGGCAAAGAGTCAGAGTCCTGGATTTGGTGTCACTTAACAACAACAAGAGGAGACAGTACAGCATCATCGACAGGAAAGACCCAGAGATTCTCAAAACAAAAGCTGATGTTTTCCCCAGAAAAGTAGCCTTTTGACAAAATACTATAGTTGTTGTTAAGTGCTGTCGAGTTGTCTCATAGTGACAAATATAGGGTTTCCAAGGAGCAGCTGGTGGGTTTGAAGTGCTGCTCTTGAGGTTAGCAGTCCAGTGTTAATCTTACAGCGCCACACCAGGACTCTTGGTAAAATGTACAAGATGAAAATATTAACTATTAATGTTTACAGGCAAAGAAGTGTTTCCAATCCTGACATTCCCAGGGGAGCCATTTCAACCAGGTGCCTAGGGAAGGTGGTAGCTCTATGCATGTGGGCCAAGGCTAGCTAAGGTTTGTCTTCCCTACAGGGGAGAAGGACAGAGTCTCTTTAAAAAGGTTTCTTCATCTAAAACCAGCTGTTGTCTGCTGTAGGCCAAAACATGACATTTTAATCAGGCTTACTGTTCTGCTTCTGAAACCAGACTCTATGGAATCCTCAGGGCAGATGATCCCAACCTAAGCTATGGGTGAGGCCCTGGAGGCCAGGCTTTTACTTGCTGGCTAGTGTTCAGAGACATACAAATAAGAAGGCAGAGTTCCTAGCCCCTGTGAGTTCCCGAATCATGATCACATGGCTAGGTTCCTGTACTGCTTTCTAGCTGTCAGTTCAGACAGTAAGACCCTATTTTGAGGTTTGTTTCAAGTGCCTCGGATCATACTCACTCTATAATACTAATGACCTTATGCTGTCTTCTGAGGTCTAACCTTCAGTAGGCCTAGAGGTGGTCAGATACATTTTGTGTTAATGCTCTTAGAAATCAATGACTCCTAGGAAGAAGATAAGGGCACGCTAACATGGCTCCTGGGGGCTCCCAATGATCTCATATTAGGGTCCCCCTTTCAATATCAAAGAACTAATTACATTTTTTTGTTGTTTTTTTAACAAAACAAAGAAAGAGGGAGAAAGAAAGGCTGACAGACCAAATGACCCCAAGGCCATGGGAGAAACACTGAGGCACACAACCAAGTGCTCCGAACTGGTTTGAACAGATTCAACCAGGGCTCAGGCAATGAAATCACAACAGACCCAAATCTGTAAAATGTGGTAAACCAGAATGATAACTGGAACAGGAAAACTTATGGGTTGAGGTCCTGGAATGGAAGACTCGGAAGAGGCCTAGTGAGCGCCTTCAGGAGTCTGATGCAGGAAATCCCATTCTCTGAGGGCTGTGCAGAGCAACACACATCCGAAGTTGCAAGGTCGACTGCCATCGTTAAGCCAAGCACTGCTGTTTCCGACTCTGTGGAAACAGAGAACTGGGTGCCATGCAATACGCACACCACCCTTGTTTTCAAGGAGGGAAATGAGGCTCTAGTAGGGCGCTGACCAGTAATTTTCCCATTCTGGTTACTGCTCCAATTCACTCACACTTTACAAATTCAGGTCTGCTCCTTGGTACAATATTAGCAAAATCCTTGGCTTTTAGCAGGGATTCAAAGGTTAGGCCCTCCCCCAACACTTGTCCCAAAATTTGGCAAATAAGCTAGACAACCCTTAGGAAGATTAGATTATTGTTGTTGTTAGGTGCCATCAAGTCAGTGCCGACTCATAGCAACCTTATGCACAGCAGAGTGTAACACTGCCCGATCCTGGGACAACCTCACTACTGTTGCCATGCTTGAGCCCACTGATGATGCCACTTGGCCAATCCATCTCGCTGGGGGTCTTCCTCTTTTTCTCTGACCCTCCACCTTACCAAACATGATATCCTTCTCCAGCAACTGGTCCCTCCTGACAGTATGTCCAAAGTATGAGAGACGAAGTTTGGCCATCTTGGTCTCCAAGGAACACTCTGGCTGCATTTCTTCCAACACAAATCTGTTGGTTCTTTTGGCAGCCTATGGCACTTTCAATATTCTCCTCCAACACCATAACTCAAAAGCATCAATTCTTCTATGGTCTTCCTTATTCACTGTCCAGCTTTTGCATGCATATGAGGTTATGAAAATACCATGGCTTGGGTCAGGTGCACCTTAGTCCTCAAGCTGTCATCTTTGCTTTTCAACACTTTAAAAACATCTTGTGCAGCAGATTTGCCTCATGCAATACATCATTTGATTTCTTGACTGCCGCTTCCATGAGTATTGATAGTTGATCCAAGAAGAATGAAGTCCTTGACAACTTCAATCTTTTCTCCTTTGTTAAGAATGTTAGATTACTCACTGCTTTTTGTCAGTTACTCACATCTGCGTAACAGAAATCTTTCTCTTGGTTTCTATCAGACCATCCCCAGTGTTATAAACAAGAGACCAAAATGCCATCTCAAATCCCCTACTGACTATGGAAGTCTAAAGCATTTATTAAGCAACTGTGTTTGCAACTGAAACATTCCAAACCAATCACAGCTTCTGTGGAGGGAACTAAAGGGACAGCGAGCTATCCTGCATCCCTTCCAGTTCTGACAGTCAATGACTATCTTACTTAATAAGATGAAATGTGAATGATTTCCACTTTCAATTTTCCAACTTCTGAATTTTTTCTCTGACCTTTCAACGTCTGTGGAAACACATCTGAAGTAACTCTTGTCAAATAAAGGCAGGGACAGAACCTCCAGCACAATTACCACTCACCTTCACGATGCTCAGCAGAACAATGGGTGGTGTTTCAGTGACTTCTAGTGGCATACAGCTCAGTTCCAGTAATGACATCCATATTCTAAGCAAACAGCTATGTATTTTCGTGTTCTGGGGACATATGTTATGGCGAAAGCCCAAACTGTGGCTAATCTTAATATTAGAGCCAGATAAATCTGTTTCGAATCCATAACATTTAACATTTGCCAGAGTAGATTTGTTCATCAACTGGGCTTAAAGAAGTATAATTCACACATGTGCAGTATTACTGAATGCTGAAATTTAACAATTGAAATATACCAACAACTGCTGTAAAGCAGTTGTTATAGGAGCATTTAACATTAGCCAGAACCTCTCTAGCTAAGGTTTAAGTTTATTCCAAAAGAATAAGTGAAATTCTGGCATCCTCTTGGGGTAGGGTCATGACTCCTTCAACTTTTTCAACATGGTCCCAGCTTGCGCAACTCCATGTATGGCTAACTAGCAGCCATATAACACACAGACAGACAGACAGACAGGAGCTAGTCAAGAAGCAAATGAATTCCTTTGGGGATTTGGGAATCATTTGCTTTTGTTTTTGTTGTTGGTATTAAATACCAACAAGCTGGTTCCGACTCATAGCAACCCTGTCTAGGGTTTCCAAGGCTGTAAATCTTTGCGGGAGCAGAAAGCCTCATCTTTCTCCTGTAGAGTGGCTGGTGGGTTCGAAGCCCAGTGTTTACCCTACAGAGCCATTGTACTTGCCCATTTGCTCCTAGAATATTTATAACGTGGAGTCCTTCCCTTCCTATGACAGTTCTATGTGTCTTCCCTGGTACGGGCGGTACACTGTCATAGGGCCAGAAGACGGACTTCAATATACAAATGAAGAAAGACGATTCCTTGGACTATCAATAATCACTGCTTAAGACACTACAGAAAAAGAAATAAAAATAAATTTAATTTTATCAAAAAGCCAAACCAAAGAGGAATAGTTCATGGAACTTATAGAATCTCAAGTCAACAGTCACTACTGTTCTTCTGCCTCACGTCCCGAGTCATTTACCAACCCCCCCACACAATGTCTGGGCTGCATACCATGCTCTGGGCTTGGCTCTTCTTCCTAACTGATTGCAAATGACTAAAACTGAGTTGATGATTCATGATTTCTACCATGATTCCCCAACTCTAAAATTGGCTGATAGCTTTCTCTTCTCTGTCCATCTTAAAGTTTGTCGTCTCCTTTCAGATGGTTATCTTGGGAATGAAAACAAAGAAGCCTGAGCTGGACTTAAAGCCATGCCACAAACCAAGGCTTCCATTTGGCATTTTCACAAAGAACTCGCTGGAGAGCGTCGGAACGAGCAAGTACAGCTCAAGGTGCTTAGAGATTCTTCCCAGGCTCCTGCTCTTGACAAGGACCTCATCTGTCAAGTGTCCACCCCAGAATCCCTGCCCTGACATCAGACCACTAAGGAGGGCCTGTGCTCTTCCTGTGTCCAGGCTGAACGGTCAGACCTCCACCACTGGCTGGCTTCATAAGCTGCCGATGTTGGGGAAGCTCTTCAGTTTTTCAGGGAAGTCGTCTTTGTATAGGACAGGGTCAGCTCGGTGTTCTACCACTTTGAGAGGCATGGTCCCAAACACGGAAGCAAACTTGTTGATGCACTCAGACCTGTGGAGTTTGGGGGAAGGAATATGAGGTGGGGGTGGGGAGAAAGAGAAAATGGTTAAGAGTGCAGGATGAGAGCAAGATTTACAGCGTTCAACAGCAACAGAAGAAACGCAGTATCCCCGGCCTGCTCCTAGGTGCTTAAAGAGGTTGGAGGGTGTGGATAAATGAGGTCATCTGGAGGGTCTGACTAGCAGTGCGGTGGGAGAAAGTGAGCTGGGGATACAGTCTGGAGGTGGTAGAGGGCAGACTCTCTTCCCTCCCCCTCAAATTCCAGGCATTCTTTTAGCTCAGTACACGTAGGCCTTAACCCAAGGTGGACTAGCTGCCAACATTTCTTAACCCCATCTCTATTTGCTAAAGAGAAAGCAAAGGGGCGAACAAAGCCACTTGGGCCTGGCTTTCATTCAGCTCACTGCAGTTTAAAAGGGGACACTGGAGGACCTTGCACTTGGGGCAAAAGATGAGGCTGGAGTGGTGAGCCAGAACATCAAACACCCAGCAGTTTACTGAGGGCCTAGCTGAAGCGGTAGTCTGTGGGAACCGCCAGGCTTTCTGGGAAAGCTGAAGGGACTTTGCATCCTTTCCTTGTTAGAACAGCAATAACCAACACCTCTGGTCCTGCTGGGGTAGAAGAGGCCGCTTTCCTCAGAAGCCCCGACTTCAACCTCCTCAGAGGGAAGAGGCCAGGCACTTTGTGGGAAATGGTTCTGGTCAAGCAGCCCAGCTGAGTGTGAGAGCAGGTAATGTACACGCTTCAGCATCAGCTCTGAAGGAAAACATCAGCCTGAAACCCACGCCAGCCTGAAACCCACGCCAGCCTGAAACCCACGCCAGCCTGAAACCCACGCCAGCCTGAAACCCACGCCAGCCTGAAATCTGAAAGGCCTGTCAGGCCCACAACATCTGAAGGGGCTACAATACACACAAATGAGTCAGAGGCAGACCCACGTTCTCGAGAAAGCACTGAATTTCAAGACATGGATCAGAAAATGTCTCTTCTGTCCTGTCCTCAGAGATGCGGGAAGCCTTGTTTTAAATGACTTTTATCACTAAGCACTGACTTGGTGATGGTCATTAACAACTCCCTTCACTTGGTCATTACATTTCTTAAAAAAAAAAAAGTTACCCCTCATTTTAAGTACCTTTAGCTACTAATGTCGTTACCTCCACCACCAGCCCACAACTAGTACGTATTACATGTGAACTCACTTAAACCTCACATCAATCCGGCTGTTGGGTGAGCCCCACTATTATTCCCATTTTGCACTGGGAGACTGAGGCACAAACCAGTGAAGTAACTTGCCCAAAGTCCAAAAACTAGTATGAAGCAGAGTTAAACCCAAGCATTCTGGCTTCTGAGGCTAAGATCTTAATTATGACATGAGACCAATTGATTTATTAACAATGGGAGGAGCTGGTAAACAGCAACAGTTGAGAATCTAATAAATACCAACAGTTCACTTACATTACCTCACTGATTCTTCACCACCTCCTTGAAAGCTTGGGTCTATTATAGTTTATTATAGATAAAGAAATTACCGCTCAGCGAGGATGTCATTTGCCTAAGGACTCAAAGCTAGAGAGTAGTAGATCTGGCATTCAAGCCCAGGCTTGCACCACCAACTGAGTCTTTGTGCTTTTCAATGCATTCGACCATACCAGTGGCCAGGGAGTTGGTCCCGATTCTACTACCATAGCTTGCCTGTAACTGAGGTTCTCTCCTGCTGCCGGCATTTGAGAGTCAGGAGGTCACACTGGGGACACACTAGAGAAAAGTCTGAAGCAAAATAGTGTGGAACAGACATGGGCTAACAGCTTCCCTCCCCTCAAATGATAGGGGCAGAGCAGTGGTAAGCAAAGGCAAAGCTCTCTCCATGGTTTTACTTTTGACAGTTGTTCTGCCTCTAAATATACACTAGAAACTTCTAGTTTCCAGTGATTATGCATGCAGACTCTGGCCAGCGAAGCCCAGCATGGACACTAGTGAGTATGTATGGAAGCAGCAGTGCGGGTCCTGGCAGGGGAGAGCGACTCCATGGTCCTGTGGAGAACACAGAACAATGCCTCCTCTGTAACTGGATCTGCCAACAGGACTTGGGCCACCGGCAAGAAGCCACTGGGGCTCGGGCCAGCCTGACTTGTTGACAGCTGCCCTGGCTAACCCAGGCCTAGTGAGCCCCTCTTTTCCCTCCCTGCAGAAGCGGCTGGCCCACTCTGGATGGGAGAGGTCCTGAACTCTCCTGCCAGGTCCTGGCAGTGGTTCACCAGGGGAACTGGGCTGGGGGACAGGTTAAGGCAGATCATGAGTTTGGCTGGTTGCTGAGAGTCCTGAGTTGCTGTCAGGTGTCCAGCTACCTTGTCAGTATTGGTTTTCCAATCAAGTATGAGCACACCACGGACTGCCAAAATCCAAAGACTCATAGCTATGTGTTTCTGAAGTGATGGAAAGGTCTGCTTTCCTCTCAAAGACATACCGTTATCTGAAGTAAGTAGGGGCCTTTAGGACTAATGTGAGGGGAAGCAGGGAGGAACTGAATGGTGTCAGAGCTCTCATGTATTACGACTTCACTGGTCCCAAGCAGATAGCTCAGTGCTTGGCAGAAAGATGCTCAATAAATATTTGCAGACCCTATGAAGGGACACTGTAATTAGATAGATATTAGTACCCATCCCTATTGAGGAGATGTAAACATAAAAGTTCAGGTAAGGTAAGTCAATTTCCTTATGTCAGACAGCTAATAAATTGACAAACTCAGTAATTTGAACAAAGACTGGCCTGAATCACAATCCTAGGTTCCTTCTCTTCAATCAACACTTGCGGTCTACCACACTGCCCTGACCTTGGTCAAAATCAACAGTTACATAGTCTTCTGGTTCTGAACGAGCTACCAGCAGACCCTGGAAGTGAATACTGAGCAGTAAAATACCATCTTACACAATTGAAACTTTGGATCCTAGACCCGCAAATGTAGGAATAAATAAAGACTGCTGAACCACTAAATCCAATGCAACGTTTTCCACTTATAAACTAGCTGTTTTCATGGTCTTGTGCAAAATGTGTGCTCTGCAAAGGGAACTACTGTAAAACACAATAAATGAACAATTGTACAGTTGTGTCTATATCTCTCAGTCTAACCCAAACCCATTACGGTGGAATCAATGGTAACTAATGGCGACCCCATGTGCTACAGAGTAGAACTGCCCCATAGGGTGTCCTGGTTTAATCTTTACAAAAGCAGGTCTGTCTTCTGAGGTACTGCTGGGTGGGTTTGAACTGACAATTTTTAGGTTAGCTGTTAAGTGCAAACCACTTACCAACCAGAAACCTTTCCAATCTACCCAAGATGGCTTAAGTCATGTTGCTGTCCCTCCCAATCTAAATTATTTACTAATTCAGTGATTCTGTCTTTAATCCATAGTTTTCAGTTTTGCTTCTGTTGCTAATTTGTTTCAACATTTCTTTTCTTCTAGTCTCAGATTTCTCAAAGGGATGGTCTATACTCACTAACTCTCCTCCCGCAGCACTGACTCCCACTCTGTAACGCTTTGGCTCCGTCACTCTAAGAAATTGTATTTGCCAAGTTCTCCATGTTCATGTGACCCCAAACCCTTTCTTTTCTCAGTCTGCATGGTCCCTGCTCCTCCCAATTCCTGGGGGGAAGGGCTCTAGAGCTCTGGGTCTCTCTGACCTCAAAAAAAAAACAACAGAGTGGCTGTCTCTTTGTTTTCAGTTACACTTTTAAATGTCCCCTAAATGTCAAAATTTCTCAAGATTTCATCCCTGGCTTTTCTTCAGCCAATTACTGTCTGTCTTAGTCAGTTAATAGACAAATCTCTCTCTGTTTTATATTTCTTTCTAGAGTTCCAGTCCTAATATCTTTCTGTAATACCTCCAATGTACTTACCTAGGATTCTCCAACTTCCCTCATGATGAACATGTTGTTTTCACTAATTATACCGTTAAAGGTACAACCATTCAGTTCAACCTTTTCCCAACTTAGTATCTCCTCCTAACTGTCTTATGTACACAGTTAAAGTTTCTCTCTACCATTCCTCTTGACTCAGATAAATCTAAGTTCTCCCTGTCAACTCTTTTCCCATACCCTCCCCATATTCATTCAGAAACTCACTTCTTGCACATCTTCCTCCGGCCAAAAAAAAAAGTCCTTACAAAATTATTTTGTCTCTTGCTTTCTACATTCAACTTAGCTCAAAAACCTTCTCACTGGCCAGCTTTCTTCAGTCTCGTCACCCTCCAGTCCAACCTATCTGCTACCAAGTATTACTTTGAGCTACTCCCATATTTGGAAACCTTCTATGGTTAACCAGAACCTGAAGGAAACAAGAGCTCAAGCCCTTTAAGTGAGGGTTCAAGTCCCTTTGCAGTGTGGCACTAACAAGGCAGAAGTCTACACTTCAGGCGAACTGAACATGTTATCGTTGGATGTTGTCAATGCTTCATAGTGAGCCGGCTGCACAGAGAAGAACTACCCCCTGCGGCTTCCAAGGCTACACATCTTTATGGGGGTACATCGTCAAGCCCTTTCTCCGACAGAGGCGCTGCTGGGTTGGCACCACCAACTTTTGGGATAGCTGCCGAGTGCTAAGCCATAGAGCGCTGTGACCAGGTATCTGTGATCACCTGGGTCATTCTGCCTACGCTCTGTTCTTCTCGTCTAGAAATCCACCAGTTGGGATTCAAGTAATCTGGGAAGGCGCCCTTCAAGTGCCACTTCTTTCACGAAGATAATTATTCTAATAATCACGATAACAAGAAGTTACTCTTCTCTGATAAATGATAAAAGGTTAAGTTGCCCTCATGGTTGTTGTTGGTAGGTGCCATCGAGCCGGTACCAACCCATAGTGACTTTATGCACAGCAGAATGAAACACTGCCTGATCCTGGGCAACCTCACTACTGTTGCCATGCCTGAGTCCATCAATGCTGCCACTTAACCAATCCATCTTGTTGGGGGTCTTCCTCTTTTTCTCTGACCCTCC